CCACCCCTGCTTCTGTGGCATGCAGATTCCGTTTTTACTCTCTCTCTCCTTAGGGTGTTGTGGTCCGCAATGAAGGTATTAAGTGGCAATGATTTTCGGCCTACAGTCTACTTTCAGTACACATCTCCCATCCCAAGTGGGTTCTCCAAGCATCCTTTACATGGTGGTCTCTTCTCTATATGAACTGCCTTTTTCCTCAGCATGTGAGGCTGGCTTCCAAGCCATGGAGAAATCCTCCTGTTTCTTGTCTCTACTATTTTTGGATGTTAGTCTCTCATTTTTTTACTTTATATTCCACAAATGGGTACAATCTTCCTATGTCTGTCCCTCTCTTTCTGACTCATTTCACTTAGCATGATAATCTCCATGTTAATCCATTTATATGCAAATTTTATGACTTCATCTTTTCTAACAGTTGCATAGTATTCCACTGTGTATATGTACCAAAGTTTCTGTAACCAGTTATCTGTTCTTGGCCACTAGGGTTCTTTCCAGATTCATGGGCTTTTGGGCATTGGACTTTTGGGCACTGATATTATAGCCTGTGACTTTACTATACAAGTCTATTGTTTCTAGGAGTTTCTTGGTAGAGGCATTGGGTTTCTCTAAATATAGTATCATGTCATCTGTGAATAGTGAGAGCTTGATTTCTTCCTTTCCTATCTGGATGTCCTTAATATCTTTTTCTTACCTAATCATGATTGCAAGTACTTCCAGTACTATATTGAACAGAAATAGTGAGAGTGTGCATTCTTGTCTTGACCCTGATCTTCAAGAGAAGGCACTTAGTTTTTCCCCATTGAGAATAATGCTTGACATAGGCTTGTGGTAGATGGCTTTGACTATATTGAGGAAGGTCCCTTCTATACCCATTTTGGTGAGAGTTTTCATCATAAATGGGTGCTTGATTTTGTCAAATGTTTTCTCTGCATTTATTGATATGATCATATGGTTTTTATCTTTTCTTGTGTTGATATGATGGATTATGTTGATTTACTTCTGAATGTTAAACCATCCTTGCATCCCCAGGATGAATCCCACTTGGTCATGGTATATGACCTTCTTGATGAGTTGTTGAATTTTACTTGCTAATATTTTGTTGAAGATCTTTGCATCCATGTACATCAGGAATATCGGCCTGTAATTTTCTTTATTTGTGGTGTCTCTGTTTCCTTTTGGTATTAGGGTGATATGTGCCTCATAGAAAATTTTTGGGAGTGTTTCTGTTTCCTCAATTTCCTGAAAAAGCTTGAAAATAATTGGCAATGGTCCTCTTTAAGTGTTTGGAAGAATTCGCTAATGAATCAATTTATTGTACCTGGATTTTGTTTTTGGGAACACTTTTTATTACAGTTTCAATTTACTTGATAGTAATAGTTCTATTCAGATATTACAGATCATCTTGGTTCAGCCTTGGGAGAATATAGAAATCAAGGAATTTTTCCATTTCTTCTAGGTTCTCTTGTTTCATGGCATACAGATTTTCAACGTAGTCTCTGGTGATCTGAATTTCTTTGGTTTCTGTTGTGATATCCCCCTTTTCATTTCTGATTCGGTTTCTTAGGATTCTCTCTCTCTCTCTCTCTCTCTCTCTCTCTCTCTCTCTCTTTCTTTGTGAGTCTAGCGAGTGGTTTATCAATCTTGTTTATTTTCTCAAAGAACCAGCTCTTGGTTTCATTGATCTTTCAGATTGTTTTTTGGGTTTCTATATCATTGATTTCTGCTCTAAGTTTTATTATTTCTTTCCCTCTGCCTCATTTGGGCTCCTTTTGATGGTCATTTTCTTTTTTCTTTTTTTGATGGTCCTTTTTTAAGGTCTTGGGCTGTGAGGTCAAATTATTTATGTGGGCCATTTCTTCCTTCCTGATGTATGTTTTCAAGGCTGTAAATTTTCCCCCTTAACATGGCTTTAGCTGCGTCCCACAGGTTATGGTAGCTCGTGTCTTCATTCTTATTTGTTTCCAGGTATCTTTTGATTTCTTCCTTGATTCACCCCCCCACCCGCCCGACCCTCTTGTTGTTCAACATTGAGTTTTTAAGTTCCAGGTGTTTGATTTGGCTCTCTGTATCTGTGTGTGATTAACTTCTATTTTCAGTGCACCTTGATCGGAAAAGATAGTTGAATCAATTTCTATCTTCTTGATTCTATTGAGGTATGTTTTGTGGCCCAGCATGTAGTCTATTTTGGAAAATGTTTTGTGTGCACTTGAAAAGAATGTTTCTTCTTTTTTTATGGGAATGTAAGGTCCTGTATAGATCTATTAGTCCTTTCTCTTCTATTTCTTCCTTCAAAGCCAGTGCTTTGTTTCTTAGTTTTAATCTTGTTGATCTATCCAGAGGTGATAAATTGGTATTGAAGTCTCCAACTACTATTGTGTTGCTGGCAATGTCTTCTTTAAAATCTGTTAGCAGTTGTTTTAAGTATTTTGCTGGCTCCTTATTGGGTGTTTATATTTTAGGAGAGTGATTTCTTCCTGCTTTACATATGCCTTGATTATTAAAAAAATGGCCTTCACTGTCCCTTCTAATCTTTTTCAAGCTGGAATCTATGTTGTCGGATATTAGGGTGGTCACTCTGGCTTTTTTGAGGGAATCATTTGTAGGATTGTTTTCCATCCTTTGACTTTGAATCTGTATTTGCTCTGACTGTTCAGATGTGCTTCTTGTAGGCAGCAGAATGTTCGGTTCAGTTTGTGGATCCATTTTGCCACCCTGTGTCTCTTAATTGGGGCATTTAGACCATTGACATCGAGAGAGATTATTATTATGGGGTTTTGTGCCATCTTTCTGTACAGGTTTGTTGTGCTTGTAGGGGTTTTTCTTATCTTACAGTAGCACCTTTAGTCCTTCTTTTAAGTTTGGTCTTTAACCTATGAAGTTCCTGAACTGTTGTTCATCCATAAAATAATGTATCATTCCTTCGAGTTTGAGTGAGAGTTTAGCAGGATAAAGTATTCTTGATGAGGCGTTCATTTCACTGAGTTTTTTCACTATATCCGACCATTGTCTTTGGGCTTGGCGGGTTTCCTCTTATTGGTCTGCTGTAAGTCACATATAAGTGGTGCTCCTTTATATGTGACTTCCTTCTTTGATCTTGTTGCTTGCAGTATTGTATCTCTAAAAATATGGAATGTTTCACGAATTTGCGTGTCATCCTTGCACAGGGTCTGTGCTAACCTTCTCTGTATCTTTCCAATTTTTAGTATATGTGCTGCCAAAGCAAGCACATTGCACTTATTTATTTATTCCAAACTTAAAATATTTATTATTTGATTGATTACAGAAGAAAGTGTGCTGACCCCCAGTATAAAGTACCAATTAGTCAAACTGCTATAATACAATATCTTCTTCCAACAGAAAATGCACTTATTTCTCAATCAATAAAATTTCAGAAATACATAAAGGCAGCACAGAGTGATTGTTAATAATTGGCTTATCAAACAGATATTCAAGTCTGACTTTGAAACATGATTTTTTGTCCTAGCTGGAAAACAAGCCACTTTGCTAGTAACCTCCCTGACATTGCACTTATTTTAAAATACATTTTAGACTGAGAGATATTACAGAGTTTAAGACATTTGTGTGACTTGTGGTTAATCCCAATTTGATTTCTGACATCTCATATGGTCCCATTAGCACTACCAGGAGCAATCCCTGAGCACAAAGCCAGAAGTAAGTCCTGAGAAGAGCAAGGTGTGTCCTCCCTAACACCCCCCACCCCCACAAAACCCCCAGTAACTTGTTGGGGATTAGTCTTGGTAGCCCCTGCTTGCTTTCCCTAAGATGGGAAAAACTGGGCATGTGAGAGCAGCATGCCCTGGCGGCTGACCTTGTAAAGGGGGGCCAAAGGGAAGGCTACACTTGATCCGCCTTGGCCAGGCCAGAAGCCATATTCTCATTCCTGAGAGAGTTCAAGTAACTGCCCTCATATACAGCTGCAAAGCAGAATAACAGATAACATAGCTTGCTTATCTTGTAACCCTTGGCTTTCCCATGGAGTGTTCACTGCACACCATAAAAGAAAATGGAATAAAGTCGCTGCATGTTTCATATAGTCCTACCTGGCCCATTCAGCTCTCATTCCCTCTCTCTGGCTGAAACTCAAGTAGCCTGCACGAGACACAGCAGTCAATAAAACTGCATTTTAGAAAACAATATGCTTAATGCAGAAGCTTAAGTTTCAAGCCTTACCTGTCGGAGTTAGTGCTATATCTGCAAATTATATAACCATCCTCCTAGTTATGCCATTCAAATTCACAAAAATTATTTTTGCTTCTTAACCTCTCACTTTAATCTATCAATAGTACCTTTGACTATTCCTAAAATAATCTTAGATATAAGTTATTTCCTCTGTTTCCTTTTTACTTTCTCCAGTTTTACTTTCCAGAATAAATAACATCATCTCTTGTCAACAATAGTTCATTCACTCCCTAGCTAATCTTCCTTCCATGCCTACTATAGAGCTTTTACTAGGAATCATAAGATACTCTTCATTAAGTTAATAATAGTCTTTTTAAATGTGATAAGATGGTGGTTTATATTTGGTCTATATCTAGCTCAGTTTTCTTTAACTTGCTTTTTATATTTGAATTTCCATTTGCCTACTACTATCTTTAAACTCCAGCCTTTCTTCTCCTTTTTCTTTCTTTTTGATTTCTAGCACACCATTTCTTTATTGATTCAGGACTTTGATCTTGTCTTTCTTCAGTTCTCTACATAATGGATTGATTGTAAATACTTAAATCTTTGTTGAAATTCCACCTCCTCAGAAAGCCACTGTAGGCATCTCACTCAGCATCTTCCCCCCCCCCCCCCCATGTTTTCTCAACACATAATAGCTTTCATCACTATCAGATTTCTTTTCTTTCTTTTTTTTTAGTTCAAGAAATTTAGTCTTCCTTCTACCAAGCTCTACCTAGGTGCTTTGAATATATTGCCAGGACTGAAAATTCATAGTCTTCCCCGCCCCACCCCACTCCGGTTTTTTTTTGTTTTTTTTTTTTTGGTGCACTCTTCCTGGAGGTACTGTATCATCAGGTCGATGCGTGGAGTGGACAGAGCAAGCTCCCTATTCCAACTCCCAGTTCCAAAAATCAATTTACTATATTGTCCTCAGAGAGAGGTATCGGTTATTGAGCAGATAAGAAACAGATACTACATTCACTCTTCACCCAAAAGGCCGCAAAGCGAGAAAATGCACCGTCTGACGGGCCAGCTTTGGCCTGCCAGGTTGCAGGGGCTGAAAAGCTGCGCTTGGCTTGCACGCTGGACCAGTGCCCCGAGGGCAGACACAGGCAAAGCACAACTCGGGGGAAACCGAGGCAAGACACGGCCAGGAGGGAGAAAAGGGGCTCTTGTCCCGCGTGCACGGCACCTGGGCACCATCAGGACGGGTCCCGGGAGCATCCGCTCCGCCAGTGATGCGTGTCTCCCCGCAAGCCTCCCCGCGCTAGCCGCTCTCCCCGCGCTGCCCCTGCACCTTCTGCATCCACGCCCGCAGAGACCAGCGCTGGTCATGGTGGGGACCGAACAGGCAACGCCACGCAATCGTTCGAGATTCCCCAGGGGCAGCCTTCCCCGGGAGCGTGGATAGGAGGGGGCTGGCCTCTCGTGGGGCGCTGGGTGGGGCTGAGGGTTGCAGGGCTAGGTCACTGGGTTATCCGCGTCCCGATGTTGGTCAAGCCCACAGCGTCAGGCAGCAGCAGGGGGCGGGGTGGGGATCCGAGTGCCCAGCCCCGCACAGGCCCGCAGACACTCTACCCGCTCCCTGACCCCAGCCCAGCCCAGCCCAGCAAAATCAAGGTCAGTCACCTGCTCGAGCAATGTGGCCGCCTCTGGGCGCTGGCCTCCTCTGGGTGTTGGCGGGACACAGGGCACCACTGAGCCAGTGAGGGGAAGTGCCAAGGCCTCTGGCAGTTGGTGAACACAGAGGCAGAGGACTCGAGCCACCATGGCTGCGCTGACCCAGGATGCACTTATCAGATTTTTTTAATCTCCCCTTAAATAATTCCTTCTCTTCCTCCTCCTCCTCCTCGTCCTCCTCGTCCTCGTCCTCGTCCTCGTCCTCCTTGTCCTCGTCCTCCTCGTCCTCGTCCTCCTCCTCGTCCTCGTCCTCCTCCTCGTCCTCGTCCTCGTCCTCCTTGTCCTCGTCCTCCTCGTCCTCGTCCTCCTCCTCGTCCTCGTCCTCGTCCTCCTCCTCGTCCTCCTCCTCCTCCTCCTCCTCCTCCTCCTCGTCCTCGTCCTCGTCCTCGTCCTCGTCCTCCTCCTCCTCCTCCTCCTCCTCCTCCTCCTCCTCCTCCTCCTCCTCCTCCTCCTCCTCCTCCTCCTCTTCTTCTTCTTCTTCTTCTTCTTCTTCTTCTTCTTCTTCTTCTTCTTCTTCTTCTTTCTTCTTTCATCTTCTTTCTTTTTTTATTGAATCACCTTGGGTACAGTTAAAGCTTTCAGGTTTAAGTCTTGATCACACAATGATCAAACACTCATCAGTGCACATGTTCTACCACCAAGAACCCAGTATAAATCCCATCCCACCTTTCCCTCTGCCTGTGTGGCAGATGATTTTCACTTTACTCTCTCTTTACTTTGATTACATTCAATTTTTTGATAGAAGACCCACTATTATTATTTGGAGTTTTCCCCCAGCTATCAGACTTGCTGAAAAACATCATTAGATAATTTGTTTTCTGTTGCTCATAATCAGGGCTGGAGCGTTAGCACAGCGGGTAGGGCGTTTGCCTTGCATGCAGCCAACATGGCCGACCCGAGTTCGATTCCTCCGCCCCTCTCGGAGAGCCTGGAAAGCTACCGAGAGTATCTCGCCCGCACGGCAGAGCCTGGCAAGCTCCCCGTGACGTATTCGATATGCCAGACACAGTAACAACAAAGTCTCCAATGGAGACGTTACTGGGCCCGCTCGAGCAAATCGATGATCAACGTGAGGGCATTTACTTTTTACCTTTTGCTCATAATGAAGAGCATATGGTGGATTTTTGGATTTCTGGTATTTTAGTAATTAAATCCAGAAGGATTTCTGCCAGAAGCCACTGGGTTCGGAGATTGGTTTGTGTGCCTCTGGGATTATGGAGGATCAGGAGCAGAAGAGCCCTTTGTGGGCGGCAACTCGAGGTCTGGTTCTGGCGGGAAGAAGGGCTGGTTTAGCCCCCCCCATCCCGAGAGGCCCTGCACGCCCCATCACTGCAAGCCCGTACCTTTCTGTCCAATAGGCTCTGAAAGATAGCGGTCACCATGCTTCCAGTGAGGTGGAAAAAGCAGAAGGACAAACATCCTTCCCCTCCTGGGGTGGCACGGGACCTCAGTTTAGTATAAGATTTTTTTTTTTATATCTCTAGTGTGCTTGCTTTATTTTCTTTCTCTACATATTTGAATAAAAGTGCAGGAGAACATGTACTTTTTTTTTTCTCATTCAGTGTGTTAGAACCCACTTAGCTGGAGAACTGTCGTGACAGTTTTGTGGCCTTCTGAGTGGCCTAGGCTTCTTCCAGGAACAAGAAAAGCAGGAAAACCAGATGCTTTTGTCATAGATTACATCCCTGGAATAAGGTTAGGTTTCTGGAATGTAACTGTCAGGGAGTTGGGCTGGATGTTGCGGGTCAAACCAACAACAAAAAATATATGCGTACTCTGTAGGTAATAGAAATTTGTGGAGTAATGCTGACTTGCCAAAATGAAAGTATAATAACATACTGAACCAGTGCTTGGGATTCTTGTTGAACTCCACTGTGTCGGGCGTTCACTAGCTTGGACCCCAGCTAGCTGGAACAATAAACCTCTCTAAGTGATTTGCTTTATTGGCTCTGTTCTCTGTCCTCGAGGGGTGGTCGACTCCGGACTCTAACATTTGGAGGTCCCAGTGAGATAAGACCCTTGAGATCAGACTACGTCAATAACGAGGTTAAACTATAACAAGACTGCAGTAAGGAGGATTGGCCACCTTTGTCTGAGGGACTAGAAGGTCCCTGTCTGAGTCTGGTTGAGAGTTCTCATCTGGGTGGAGAATGAGATTCTACTGCTGTAAGGAGAATTGTCCACCTCCTTCTGAGGAGGACTGGGGGACCCTGTCTGGGTCTGGCTGAGAATTCTCATCAAAGTCCTGGGAGATGTTCCCGACTTCAGGAGTTGAGAATGTGTAAGAGTCCCTGACGTCAGGCTGGTAAGGTTCCTGATCTGGGTGTGAGTGTGTAGAGAGTAATTTGTCTGTGAGAGTAGTGTGTCTGACTGGCTAGTGTGTGTGTGTTGAGTGGCTCAGTGCTAATCTGTTTCACTGATGAAGTGATCCCTGTTGTTATTTTCTGTTTGTTTAATTTGTCCCTTTCTGCTTAATTCATCCCTTTTTCACGACTCAATGCAAACCTATTTTCCCGGTGGAGGGTCTCTGTTGTTGTTTTTTGTTAGTTTAATTTATCCCTTTCTCCTGATCATTATGGATTAGGCCTAGTTGACCCCAAAATATATCCCCTTAACTATTTTTTATCTGGGGACCATGCAGTGAAGAAATCCACAAGGAAGGAGGTAACCTGTGGAAAATCTTCTGTGGAGGTATGCTCCCCTGGAAATCTCTAGGGGGAATGAGGGAGGAATGTGATAATCTCTATGTGAATGTGTGTGTGCATGAGCACTCTGACAGGTCCTTTTATGGGGCGTGATTTTGTGGCTCCATGACCTGGCACTCTTAAAGTCCCTCTAAGTCACAGAGCTTGAGTGGGCTGCCTGCAATTCCATGAAGCACGGACATTCAAGGGTGACACTGGCATAGATGCCACAAGTCACAATGCTGAACCATTTTGGCTATGTTTTCCACTGGCCAGGCAAGCACCTGAGGGGACTCTGCAAAGAGGCACCTCTCCCTTTTCTGTCTCACATCACCGTTCACTAAGGAAGGGAGCTGGAGGAAAACCCACTAGTGAGAAGATTCAGGGAAACTAAGGCAGATCAGCTCCCAGGCAGAAATCCTTCCATACCCAGTCTCCATTAGCTAGGGGTCAATTGAAATTCTAATGAAGGCAGTCAGCAGGTCTAGCTCTAGGCAAAGTAAGGCAGAACTTTTTATAAGGAGCAGATAGACCTGGAGAAAAGTTTTGCGAAGGAACCATCCCTTTTCATAAGTCCTTGCTGGCACTCAGGAAATATGGGAAATTCTACATCTATACCCAAAGATTCTCCTTTAGGTTCTTTATTAAAACATCGTAGGGGCTTCCAAGTAGGTAGTTTAAATAAGGAGCATCTTGTTGACCTGTGTAACACCACATGACCTGTGGATAAGCTAGAGTACAGGAAAAGATGGCCAGTGAATGGCAGTTTGCATTACTAGACCATCTTGCAGTTCGATCTTTTTGCAGGAAGTAAGAGAAATGGGATTATCAAAGCAGAGGAGGCAGGAAAATGCAAGATCATATGATTAACTGTTTGTAGCCAGTTCATTGTCTGTCTTTTTGTCTGTTAGAGCCAGGTTTGATGAAATCAGAAGTAGAAATTCTTAGACCTGGGCAAATAGGTTCATCATGAAAGGTCAGAGTATGCAAGTCAGCAATTTGAAAGGTTTAAGTGGTTTTGTAACTTTTAGACCAGGTTTAGACTAAGGTTTCTCATCAGAATGTTGAGCCTAAAGAGAAATAGAAATTCTCAATTTAGATCTTACTGGTAAAAGTTAAAAGTTTCTTGATCACTGAATTTCTTTTAGCTCCAGAATCTGTATTTATAAGGGGCCCGGAACTAAAGTCAAAAGTGGCAGAGAGATAAGAGCTTTGTGAGACAGTGCAGCGATAAACTTAATAAGAATTTAGGGCTGCTTTAAAAATAAGAGAGACATAGAAGACTTCAAAATAATGTTTTCTCATTTTTTTATTTTTTATTTTTTTTAATTAATTAATTTATTTATTGAATCACCATGGGAAAGGTTACAAAGCTTTCAGGTTTAGGTCTCAGTCATGCAAATATCAAACACATTTCCCTTTACCAAAACTTATTTTTTACCATGAAGAACCCCAATAAAACCCCACCCCCAGTCCTCCCAGTCCCTGTGGGGCAGATGAATTCTAGTTAACACTCTATCTGCTTTGATTAGATTCATTGTTTCAATAAAAGATTCACCACTATTATTTAGAGTTTACCCCCCCCCCCCCCAATCAGACATGCTGAAAAAGCATTGTGAAGTGATTTGCTTTCTACAGCTGGGTT